TATATATAATTCATTCTTTATAATAAAATTTTTTTTTAATTTTTTTTCAATGTTTATTTATTTTTGGGACAGAGAGAGACAGAGCATGAACGGGGGAGGGGCAGAGAGAGAGGGAGACACAGAATCGGAAACAGGCTCCAGGCTCCGAGCCATCAGCCCAGAGCCTGACGCGGGGCTCGAACTCACGGACCGCGAGATCGTGACCTGGCTGAAGTCGGACGCTTAACCGACTGCGCCACCCAGGCGCCCCAATAAAATGTTAACCAATACTTTAAGGTAGCTTAACTTGTATAACAGTTAAGTATCACGTGTAAATACTCTGGAACACTTAACCTTTGCTAAAGAAAGGTGTTCCTCATCCTAAATAACTCTTTCAGTGGAAGCTCTCTTATCTGACCTCTACTTCGCCTTCTTACAGAATTCATCACTGTTCTCCATTCCTTCCATGGAACATGCTAATGGATTCTAGCATCCTCATGCTCGTGGCTAGTGATTTGCTACCCTCTGCTAACTTGGTCTTTCAAACCCTAGAAGACTGTCAAGACTGGTTTCTCTACCGTCTTCTGTGCCAAGACGAGACTCTCAGGCTCTGACTCTAGCTCCCCAATCTGCAAATGTCTCAGGGTAAAAAGGAACCTGGAAATCAATAGCTCACCTCTCTGTGATCCTATAAATCTAAGTATAGACCTGCCTAGTTGTGGGTGGGCATCAGCTGCCCCCTTATGCCTTTTAACAGAATTTTTAAATTGTATCTTACGTTTCATTTCACTTTATGGCCTTTCTAGTTACTCTTGGTGAGAGCATTAGTCTGTTGCAGGATCCTGCGTAGGGGCAAGAGTCCCAAGCCTGTATTTGAGGCCACCGAACAAGAGTGGGGTTCAACCACGCAGCTTTTGTTTATCTAATTTCTATTGTAGGGCCCTAAAAAAATTGTCCTCTGCTCAAAAAGTTAACGTTCCTCAAGCTTTGACAACCACGTACCAAAATTGTTCTTTTTCCCCCCTCTCCTTTTACTTTCAAATGATCTTTCTTCACAAAAACACGAGCTCATGGCGTTCAACGATTCTACTTTAAATGTGCCATACGGCAGTGATTTGTTAATTCAACTTTATTTTAATGGGACTTGAGACTCACTTGGAATTGACTAGAATTTATCCTGGGGGATGCATCCTCTCCCCGCGTCTTCTGAAGACGGTGTTGTACATGGAAATGGAGAGACGGTCCGGGCTCTGCTGCTCAGGCAGGACAGACGCTCAGTTTTGCTCTGAGGTTCACTAGTCAGTAACTCTAGGCACTTGTGCATAAAGAGCCGGTGGCCCCAACTAATCCCAAGTACCTGACTTTATGGAAAATAGCTTATTATCCTTAGTGAACTTTCTTTGCAATTGGCCGTTTCCCGAGGCCAGACAATGCCCAGGGAAGCAGGAGAACAGCCTTCTCCAAATCCGAGCCCACATAGAATTGAGGACTCATAAAGGTGTCTGGCGGGCTTGCTCCTTGGCTAAAAATCAATTTTATCTTCGACCTTGAGGAAACCAGAGTGTAGGTCAGTGCCCATTAAGAAAAGTGTGCAGAAATGCTTATAGAAAATAGTACCACCTTATTTTCTCCCTGCATCCCTCTCTCCCAGCCCTCTGTCTCCCCTGTTACCTATGAACCATCTGAAAAGAAGATCCCCCTGAGCTAACAAGTTCCTTTAAAGATAATTGTACTCTCTCCGTACATTGCCCCTCCATTTGAAAAGCAAACCTCTTGTCACCCCACTGCAGAGCATCTAGATGTTACATACAAACCGTGCCACTATTTTAATGTTCATGCTCTTGAAAAATACTTGGCATTCCTCAGGGAAAAAGATGTGTATACTTAATGTTGCTAGTATTCTCATTCCAAAGTTAAGAGTTGCTCTTTCTCTTAGCGGTCCTCAGCAACACCCCCCCCCCCGCCCCCACCCAGAGCTCTTGGGTCTGCATGCCTCCCCGTCAGCGCTACCGCTCATTTCAAAAGCAACAGCCAAAGCAGATGCGAGGGAGATGCTCCCCTGCTCATAAATTCTAGGAGCGAAAATAGCAACAGCTGTAGCAATTGCAGGATTTCAGCAGGTAATCAAGTAACTAAGTGCCAAAAGCGGATTGGACAATTCTACTGGGGCCTGGGACAGAGGGCAGCGAGAACTTGAACTTGGAGAGGAATCTTCCCTGCAATCAACGAAAATGTAAGCCCAGTGACTGCACCCTGCTACGCACAGATTTTCCTGCTTTCAATGCCAGTCCCTGAGCAGTAGGAATAACCTTTCTCATAACATTTGGCTTTCTTGGATATATTTACCTCTATTGCATACTGCCAAGGTTCACCTGTGCATTTTCATCACTGGTTTAATAACATTTTTCAAGACCCTTAGGTACTTATGAAAGGATGGGTATGCCTGTTTAGGCTGAGGTTTATGGGTAGAATTTCTTCCGAAATGTTCTTCCCAAATCTAAAGGGCAGCGATTCTCATAGCAAAGGTTTTAGAAGGTACACGAGGGTCAGTAATGAACCTCCAGGCTAAGAAGGCACTTTAAGACCAAAACGACACAAGCCGCTCCACAGTGTTTACAGTTTCGTCCAGGGTAACTTACTGACAAGAAGAATCCAGCAGGCAAACGATCCACAGACCGCATGACGACTCTCCACCCTGCCAGGGCCTTACCCCCAGCTTTTATAGAGGGAGGGGCACAGTGGTGAGGTCACAGCATAGTTATTTAAAGTGGCACCATCTGTGCTCCAGAGGATCTCTACTAGTTATCTACAGTGGGCCCTTCTGTGCGCCACTTTAGGGAAGATCAGAACAAGCCTTCTCTCATTGTGATCAGGGCTTACATTAACCTCTTAGGGCCTGGAACACGTAGCTCCGAGGGAGGTCACTGCGCAGGCGTGAAGAAGATGGCGAGCCAACGATGGCGTCAGAGCCGTCAGCACCCCTACAAAGGGAGACCAGACTCTCCTGCTCATCTTTGGAAGTTAGAACAGCACTCAGGGTCCAGGGAGGCCTATGAGGCATGGAAAGGAGAAAGGATACTGTGCCTGTTCTCTTTTGTTATTAGACGTAATTATGAAAGACTTTCCCATTGAGAGGAGAGAACCAGGCTGTAAGTACTGGCTTAGTGGCTAAGAGCACAGACTCTGCCTGATTCAAATATAGGCTCTGTGACCTTGGACAAGTGTTCAGTGTGCGGGTTTCCGCATCTGTATAATAATGCTAGTAATACCCACCTCCAATGATTTTATGAGAATGAAATGATTCACTACATGCTAAGTGCCTAGAACAATACCTAGCACATGGTAAGCTCAGTAAATATTATCCCCTTATATGAATCATGTATCTCCTCAGTATTAAGCATGTGTCCAACTGTTGGAACTTTAGAAAATAGCTCTATAGAGTAAAAATATACCTTTGATATATTTTTTTAAATGTTCTTCTATTAGTTAGAAGTCTGTTGGTGACAAGTTCAACTTTAAACTAGCCTATGGGGACAGAAAAATAAATTTATTGGCTCTCATGCATGCCTAGGAAGTGGTCCATTTGCTTGGACCCAAGGTCTCTGTCTCTGTCCGTCTCTCTCTCCATCTCTTGGCTGAGCTCACATGATGTCTTCCACCACGAGCGCCTTCCTTATACCCTCCTGACCCAGCATCTCCAGTAGAAACAATCTCATTTGACACCCCAGCAGAAGAGACCCAGCAAGAACTGTGATTGGCTCAGCCTAGAACCAGTCACTTTAGGGTTAACCTAGCTTTCTGGGTTAGCAGGAACCTACATTGCCCATTTTGTAAGGCAAAGATTCATTGTAAATATAGAAATATTAGACTATGTCTCTGATTTTCTGTAGTCAATAAACTAATTTATTGACTACCTTTCAGTCTACAACTCTAAAACCTAAATTCTAAAACTTGGTTGTGAATTCCTAGAGAACTGTGTTGACAGAGATTTTGAGGTTGCATTCTTGCTCAGACAAAACAATACTGGCTAAGGGTATGGTTTGGGCAGTGATGGTACCTATGCCGGGTGATAACTGCCTGTTTTATGCCAGGTTAAGAACCCTTACCCACAAACTGAGGACATTACAGATGGAGAGACTTTCAATGGGAGCCACGTGTCAGAGCTGAGCTTCCAAGTAATGCTAGAGTTAATTCAAACAGCCAGTCAACACCATGCATGGCAGGTTATGCACTTAAGTGAGCAGCTTTACAACACCACAAATGAGTGTTGACAGGCTGACTCATCTCTGTTAAGAAGGAAGAACATGCTGATTTATCTCTTTCAAAGCCCTCTGGGTCAACCTCTTGTAAACCCTACCTTGAGGTGCTTTACCATGAAACAACAGATAAATAAGGACAAAAGGGTAACTTAAACATTTCTTTTTCATGTTGGCATTCTTAGAGTTCAATACTTCAAATGACATAGTACATATAGTGTTTCACCAGTTGCTAGATATAGTAAGTACTCATCAATGGTAGCTGTTTTCATGATTATTTCCACAACTTTTCTGTGTATAAAGCGTATGTTTTATCACCAAATAAAAGGTGAGAGACTTGTATGGCCAAATTCTTAAAGATTTTCTTGGAAGATGCCAGGCAAGATCTCCCTGTGTTAATCATGTTTTTTTTATTTTTTATATTTTATGATGTTTGACATCTTGGGGACCACATGAACATGGGGAGAGACTGCCCTTCCAGAGCTGGGGTAGCAAACAACTTGCCTGTGAGCACACCTTTCACACACCAACCAACTAATCCAAAATCCATATTCCCATCTACCTCCTTTATCAAAACCTCACACACCAAGCCCATATTTCCCCTGCCCCAAATCACCCCAGGGCCAAGTACTAGGCAACTGGAGACCACTCTTATAGCCCAGAGCCTGCCTTTGCTCAAACTTGCCTACCCTGCCTCACCCAGTCCTTCTGCCAGGAACCACAATAGAGTCCCTGGGCCACACTTTTCTGGTGGCTCTTTCTGCTTCCTGCCTTGCCCGGTGCTTCCCCTGGTGGCCCTGCATGGAACTGCATGCCCCCTCCTCTTGGGCCTTGTAAGTAACAAACTCTTTCCAAGTCCATTGTCTCCATGTCTGTCATCTCAGGAAACCTGATTAAAACAAATCCCAGGTACATATGAAGACATTCCTATAACCATAAACAATAGGGTTGAGGAATAATATGCAACGAAAAAAATGCTCTCAAAATTGAAATGGAAGTAAAAATGTGGGAAGAGGAAGAACTTTGAATACAGTATGTTGAGATCATTTATTATTTGTTGTCTTTCTCTAGTTGTGTTTGGGAAAGGAGTTACCCAAATCCAAGCATACACTTGGAACTATGGAATTTATATAGGAATAAATATCCACTTGCTTTAGGGTAGGGTACAGAGTTTAACAAAATTATGGACAGTATTAATATTAGCAGAAATAATCTCCAATATAATCTTTAGCAATGTAGCTGTTAATTAAGTCTCATCGAAACATGTTCAAGCTTGGACTAGTTTTTTTTTGTTGTTGTTTTTTTTGTTTTTTTGCATTTTCTTCTTTTATTTTCAAGAATCTTTTAAGTGATTTCTCTTGGTTTCATGGCCAAGTTTTATTATTTTATTTTATTTTATTTTTAAGTTTATTTCTTTATTTTGAGAGACACAGAGAGAACACTGGCAGGGAAGGGGCAGAGAGAGAGATTATTCCCAAACAGGCTCTGCCTTGTCAGTGCAGGGCCAATGCAGGCCTCAATCTCCCAAACCGTCAGATCATGACCTGAGCTGAAATCAAGAGTTGGAGGCTTAACTGACTGAGCCACCCAGGTGCCCCATTCACTGCCAAATTTTAAAACACCAAGCCCTTGGGTTAGATATAACATGCCCATATATAAAATTACTCATCAAAAAAATGCTTACAGGTGCCTGGGTGGCTGAGTCGGTTCAGCATCAGACTCTTGGTTTTGGCCCAGGTCATGATCTCACAGTTTTGTGAGTTTGAGCCCCATGTATGGCTCTGCACTAGCAGCATGGAACCTGCTTGGGATTCTCTCTCCCTCTCCCTCTGCCCTTCTCCTGCTCACGCTGTCTCTCTGAAGATAAACAAATGAAGTTAACATTAGGAAAAAAGAAATGCCTAATTATAATGGCTTTTTGGAGTAAAGAACAAAGAGAGCGGCTGTGGGGAGGAAACGAGGAGACCTATAAGGAATTGCAGTGCCCGGGTGCAAGGGAGCAGCACCCACAGGGCCATTATGGAGACGGAAAACACAGCTACTCGAGTGTATTCTGCATAGACGCTCTGTGCACCGGAAGGAGGGAGAAACAATTTACAGACCAAAGAAGGCCTGGACAAAATTATCCATTTTTGGAGGAATCATTTGTGCTGCAGCCATGAACACTTTCTGGAGAGCTATTTGAGGAGGCAGATGTTTAGATAATATATTGCTGCTTTGCATTTCTATAACACCTTCCATCTAAGAGCTGCAGAGTGTAACACAAACATTAACTAATAAATTAAGCCTTGTGGCACCTCTGCATGATTGATAGGCATAATAGCCATTTTTATAGTGTGGGAAAGGCAGCACCCTGCTCGAAGGTGCTCAAGTCATTTACCCAAGGTCATGAAGGGGGAAAAATGACAAACTGTTTCAAATTGGAGCACCAATTCTCCCCACACTCACATAATGTGTTTTTTCTCACTTGGCAGGTCAGCAACTTCAAGAGCATGTGTTTGTTTCCATGGGACACTTAGCGGTAGAGGGGGATGCAGTGTAGAGCCTGGTTTCCACTGATCTGCTTCAGGAGATAGCTCTTTAATTTAACTGGGAGATGGTTTGAAAATATTAAGTCTTGGATCAAAGCCTTACTCCTTTCTCTCTGGTTTACCCAGGAATTAATTTGTTTGCTAATGCTGGTCTCTTTCCTGGGATGACAGTGGCCTTTTGCTCTAGAGTTGTGTGTTCATGTTGCTTAATCCGATTATGCAAAGGACTTAAAATATTACAAGAATATCAAACAACCCCAACACATCTGTGGAGGCATTAATGTAATTATTTTTATTGCTGTTTTAATTTCTGAAAAGCCCATAAAACTGTCATTGAAAGTAGAGTGTGATATGTCAACAAAAGACAGGGCCAACCCTTAACAGAATCTAGTGGGCTTGTCAGTGAAATCTTTTTTTACTTTGGTCAAACGTTACTATGTATCTTCCTAAAGGCTACTCACTCCATACCACAGGTTGTGCTTAGTAACAACTTGTTCCATAGTGGTATTGTCTTTTTCCTCTTTCTCTCCATAACCCACACAGTTTTTCCAGTAGAATAATCAGGCGGAAGGAAAACAAAGTAAGGAAATCAAATATAAATCCTTGGTACTCACAAACTCTTGGAAAAAAGATGGCCACCACTGTTACACAAAGCTGTGGGGATTTCTACCTCAGTGAGCATTTTCAAACTTCTCAGGAAGTAACGGGTTCACCTCGAAGTCACTCATGTCCTTAATTGTCATTTGTTTTCCTCTTTCCTATAGCTAGAAATATAAGTTTTTTTTTTCCAAACGAAGCAAGATGTGATTTGCTTGTCCCTGGTTAACATCTTCCTTTCTTCTCCAGACCCTGTCCTGTGGCAGCATTAGCACTCACGTCAGATAAGACTATTACTCATCATGTTAACAAATTACATTTAGGCAGCACTTTGCATCACTCCCCATGTCCCCACCCGTTTTCTCCCCATTTGTCACAACACCTCAAATACA